TGAACTGCAGGAGATTGTCTTGACCATGTCTACATGCCTAAATGCACTGAGTTGCCGCCATTTGATTGGCTGATTAGAAATTAAGTGTTAACGAGCAGTTGGACAGGTGTACCTAATAAAGTGGCCGGTGAGTGTAGATGTCCCTCACAGGCATCAGCACATGTTGGCAGGTATGTTTGGGTGGGTTTTCGCCCACAGACAAAACCCTCTCTTGTTAAAAAGATCTGTGATCTGTGTGCCCTTTTCCTGGTTAAATAAAGGTAAATAAAAGAAATAAGAGTTCTGTGTGTGTATGTTGACTTACAATGAAGGCGATGGCGGACGTGTAGACGGAGTACCAGCTGGATAAGGCCGAGAGGTTTCTCATGAAGTTGGTCACTGGTCTGAAACCTCTTTCTGAGCAGACAGAACAATAAATTATGATGAAGATTTGGCGTCCTTCATTGAAGGTGACCTATGATCTTTATAGTCAAAGGTTTTCTTTTGCTAGTGACCAATGTGAGTGCAACAACTACATTAGTAAATAAAGTAACAATAAATTATACTGACAAACATGTAAAAATATTGAGATTTTTGTAAATAAATATTGGTAAATCATTTATTTAAATCCACAACCAGATGTAAGCATTTACACAACTTTTACTTTTAGGGCATTTTTGTTCCAAATCCCAAAATAATCATTTAATTTGTCTTATATTGGCTTTTATTACCACTTTTTATAAACTTGTGGGTATCTTGTGCTCCCAAGTTCTGACTCTGATGTAGCCAAGGACAAATCTGTCAATAATTACTGAAAAATGTTATACAACAAATTATTCTTATGTAAATAAAAATTAATGTTTTCCAAATTACACTTTATGTTGCATAACATAAATAAGCCAACAGATAATTTAAAAAGATTTTTAGACACATCTATAGCATTCATTTCTTAAGTCTTATTCTCTATTAACAACTTTATGTTTTATCTTAGAGAGACATTTTATCACAATTATTACAATTCAGCAAATCAGATAAAAAAGAAAACCACTCATTAAAAATCTACTTATGTTGATTCTCTGTTAATCTTTTCACATCAAAATCAAAGATTAGTGAAAATTTCAAACTTGAGTTGTTCAGCTGTCATGAAAAGGATGCAACAAATATTTAAGAAAAACTTTCACATTTACAGTATTACCATTGGGGCCAGATAAAATGTTAACGAGGTCCAGATGTGGCCTGCGGGCCTTACGTTTGACACATATACAAATATTTCTTACGTCTGTAATAAATATCTTGAAAGGAATGGCAACACGTCCATTTTTACAACATATATGAACTTCTCGTATTCTAAGAAAGGAAAAACTATTTTTCACAAATTCTTTAAACTTTTTGGAGTCTGAGCTAAAACAAGAGTTACTTAAAACACAACTCGAACAATCCTCTGTCAACATAATAAAAAACAAAACTGCTGACGTTTATTCTGTATGATTTGTGGAGTCCCACAGGGGTCCATATTAGGACCTGTCCTGTTAACATCTCACTGATGAGTACCTCAGTAAACAGACTGTACTGTACTTTTATAAAACCTCTACAGGAGAAACAAAAGTACTCACTGAGCCGTCTCATGTTTTCTGTCAACCTGAGGACCAGAAACAAACAGATATTATTTTCATTTGAAATAAGTCAAACTTTAACAAAATTATTACTATTCAACTGTTTTTCCTTCTGTTTCTGTTGCTCAAGTACAAAAATATAAGAAAGCGTGTGCCTTGGTTTTAAACAGAGTGGAGTGATTTTGTGTAGCAGACAGTGTAGACAAAATCTGTCAAAGCAGAAATTAAAACAACTCTCAACAAAACAATAATTTGGGGGAAGAAAAGTGAGAAACCTGAACCCTATTTGGAGCCACACAGCTTAAACTTCACAGTAAAAACAGGACTTAAAGTCATAATAACTCTTAAAATACATAGTTTTTCCATGTTTTTGATTTGAATTTGTATAATTCTAACAATTTTAAAACATTAAATGATTGTTGGAGTAAAGTAACTCAATCTCATCAAAGTTTGTTTTTTAATTCCAATCAAAACCTGTCATCGGTAATTCAGATGATGTCAGTGCTCCACTTCTTTATTGCCGTCTTATTTCACTCTCATATCACCCCAACACAAGCGTTTATTCATTTTATAAAAATGTAAGAGAATATAAACTATAAGAACATCTGACATGGATCCATACACAACATGAAAAAATGATCACATCTCTGCTGTGGTCCAGTCAAAGTTTGTAAATGTTTTCTGCAGGGTGAATAATGATGTCGATAAAATGTTATTATACAACAAATGCATAAAGATTGTTTAGAACCATGCTGAAGTTAGAATTCATTGGATTAACACAGTGGTGTTTGGATGATTAAAGCAGCTTTAGAAGAATTTAAAGCTGAAAATAATGAATTGAAAAACTGAATGTTAAAACTGAAAGACTCATTGGGCCTCATGCAAGAACCGTTCGTACGCACAGATTTGTTCTCAAGTTGTGCGTACGAGTGATTTAGGAGAATTTGTGGCATTCACCAATGTTTTCGTATTCTAAGATTTTTTCAGATACGAACAAAATTTACGAGTGGTCCAGACCTGTCGTATATTTTACGAGCAGTCAGTCTGCTGTTATCCAGACGGGTTTTCTTCACTAATAACTTTATATTTCGTTAGTTTGAAGATATTTTGAGTTGAAAATAAATCACACTCCATAATTATGTTGACAATAGGCTATTCTGCTTGAATTAGAGTTATAATTTTAAATGTAATAATTTAGAATAACAATAAATTGTCCGTCCGTCCATTTTTTGCCGCTTATCTGGGATCGGGTCACGGGGGCAGCAGGAGAAAGACCCAGACTTCCCTCTCCCCAGCGACACTTTCCAGCTCGTCCTGGGGGACTCCGAGACGTTCCCAGACCAGGAAGATACATAATCCCTCCAGCAAGTCCTGGATTTTCTCCAAAGTGCCAGACTTATTTTGAAAACATTTTAAAATGCTTATTTCAGAACCGCATCTGAGACCACTTGCGACTGCGTGGGGGGTGGGGGGGGGTGGTTAAGGTGCGTGACGGTGTGGATTCTGAACAAATGAAAATGATTTAACACAGTTGTTAATACTTTTAGCAGCTCTTTTTATTCCACAGCTGACCTGCTAAAAATGACAGATTTTCTTTTCTGGATCTCTGACAGACAGACTTCAATCTCTGAACTCGTAAAGTTTTTCTTTTTAATTTTCGCTGTCATTTTCATGAATGGACACTTCCTGATATCTGAGGCAGGAAACATAGCCTTATATGGTGTTTTTGGGGTGGTAATTATGCTAATCTCCTTTCGCGTGCACGAGCAGCTGGATAGAACAGGTGGAAATTACGCAGCTCATTTACACACTTTTCCTGAAGATAGAAGAGTTTGTTGAATCTGACGTGACATGTTCGTACAAACCCTTTGTACAAACAAAAGTAAGAGAAATTTAGGATAAGAATACGAACATGTTCTTGCATGAGGCCCATTAAATCTAACAAAACTATTCCTCCAACCCACTAATTTAATGTCTCTCAACTTAAATTACAAGTTACTGAAATATCAAGTATCTTTTGTTCCTACTAATCACAGATCATTCCAACAATGTTACTGCTACCATCAACAAAAACAAAAAGGTTTTTGTGTAGAATAGTCATAAAAACATAATTCCCTCAAGGGGGGTCAGAAGTCTCTGGACATACACTTTTGTCCTCTTTGACCAAAAACCCTTCCCATCACTCCGCTGAATGAATGAGCCGTTTTCTCCTCACCTCCTGGCACTCAGCGGCTCCTCTGTCTCCACCGTCGTTTCCTCTGGCTGGAAGCAAAAGTCCTCTACGGAAAGTCCAAAACGTTCATAGATCCATTTCAGGAAGCTGTTGGACAGGGTTTCTTTCTGTTTGTCTGCGAGACACAAAGGACATGTTAAAAATTTCTAATTTATTTCAACACCAAAAATCCTAAATATAAGCAGGTGTTGCTCACCTGTAGCAGCGGCTGGAGATGGAGGAGGGGGCAGAGCTTTAGGCGTCTGAGATGGGGAGTCTTCAAGCCTGTGAACCGATGATGTCAGTCCAGGGGACAGAGGACAGTGGGTCTCACAGTCAGTACCTCTTCTTAAAACAACTCACCCTGATTTCACAACTTCGTTGATCTTCTGCTCCAGCTCCATCCGTCTGAGCCGCTCCTTCTCCAGCTCCTGCTTCAGAGAATCCACGTTGGACTCCTCTCTGATTTTCTTCAGCTCCTCCTCTGAGTCACAGGAGGTGGACACAAAATGAGAAGAATAAAGTCCTGCTTCTTTATTGTCTGCCTTTCAACATGACGTCAAACACTCAAAGATGTGTTCAGGTGAACTCTCAGCTACTACCACAGAAACATTAACTGTAGAGTTAGAGACAGTTTAATGCATCAAACAGAACAAATGAAGGTTCACAAGCAGAACAACGTGGATTAAAACATGATGTAAACTGTTAATTCTTTGACAAGAGAGAAATTAGGATTGTCTGAGTCATCATTATTCCTGTCAGATGAGGACAGCCATGTTAATAATAGATCTGAGTGTTACGTAAAAAGACAAATATTGACAGATTACCCAGCATGCTGTTGTGCGGTGGGATTGTGGACTCAGATTATAATCTGATGTCTGAGGGTGATGTGCTAACTCCAGGTCTAAATCGACATCAGTTCCTGCTAACTTTGTAAAAGTAAAATTCTGACAAATAAACTGAACAGAGAAAGTGCAGTGAGGGAAATGATTCTTTAATCCTCTGCTGATGTTGTAAGTTTGTCAACGAGCAGTCTCAAATTTATATTAGTCCCTTAAAGCACTGAGAAAATAAATCAATTCAGAAATAACAGATAAAAGTTAAACTGATCTGAAAGTTCATCCTTTTTCTTTACACACAGGAGGCTGGTCCTGCAGCAGTCACTGTGTGAGAGGCAGGACACCTGGACAGATCTCAGTCCATCACAGGGACACACCTGGAGAGGTCTCAGTCCATCACAGGGACACACCTGGAGAGGTCTCAGTCCATCACAGGGACACACCTGGACAGATCTCAGTCCATCACAGGGACACACCTGGACAGATCTCAGTCCATCACAGGGACACACCTGGACAGGTCTCAGTCCATCACAGGGACACACCTGGACAGGTCTCAGTCCATCACAGGGACACACCTGGAC